TCTTATATTATTGTGGAACATTCCTTACAGACCGTTTTTGAATTAGATCAGGTTCAATTGCCTCATTTCTCAGAAGAGGAAACAATGCTAATACCTGGAACTCATCTTACAGTTTATAGTTTATCCAGATATTCACAGACCCATCATCTCATCTATTATGTCACTTGAGGTCTCAGTCCTAGAAGGTTAAATAAATTATCTAAGATCACATGGTGAATTAGTGGCAGAATGCAAATAAAGTGTTGGTAACCTTAGGTTTATTAAAAGCCTGTTTTTCATTGAGTTTTTAATGTAACATATATATATTGTGCAATACCCACTAGACATTGTACTTAGAACTTCGGTTGGCATGGCAAAAAGAGAGTATGAAATATTCAATAAGTGCTGAATTGCCCTCAACCTGCAGACAATCAAAAGCAAAGAAAAAGCATTTCTAATACCGAGTAGGGAGCGACAAGTGGCTATGAGTGGTTCTAATCATTTTCTAGGGGAGTTCGTGTAAGAGTGATTACATTTAGCTCAGTGAAGAGAAACGTTCTCAAGGATTTCTAAAAGAGGGGACATTTGAATAGATTTTAGGTGGGTGGGATTTCAGTGTGTAGACCTGGAGCATACAAAGCAGAGGGAATTGTTCTAGACAAGGACAGGAGGTGGGAAATAGAAGACATGGAAAACAATGAGGACCCTTTCCTTAATTTTTAGACACATTATCTTTTTATATTTTAATGTCTGGAATACTATGAGTTATCTTAGAATCAATTTCAAAAGAAGCTTACCATCCGTTAGGCTGTGGAGTAAGATGCCTATTAAATGAATGATGGACTCTTCAATCAAGGGTGTCTCATAGCCAAGGACTCATCATAACTCATTTTGACAAGATCGAGGGTGAATGAAGACAAGTAGCAGAAGCTTAGATTCAAAAGTTAAGCTGTGGAGAAATCATGAAAGGCCTCGGATAATAGATTAAAGTTGTTGAGACTTTATTACATGTACAATCAGAAGCCATTGAAGGTTTTTTGAGTAGGAAGTAATAGGATAAGAATAGTGTTTAGGAAATTAAATTGAGAGCAATGTATAGATAGAATGAAAGTAAAAGGACAGGAGGGAGGTAAAATACCGAGAGGTGACTAAAATAGTTAAGGAGAGAAACAATTTGAACCATTGCATTAGTTAGTGAATAACAAACCACCCCAAAATTTAGTGGCTTAAAACAACCACCATTTGTTTATTCTGTAATTACACAGTTTGACAGTTTGGGCTGGGTCTATCTGGGTGGTTCTTCTGGTATCAGCTGGTCTTCCCCATGCACCTGCAATCAATTATCAGAGCTGGTTGCTCTAGGATGGCTTCAGTTGGGATGGCATGCTCCGTTTGGTTTTTCATCATCCAGCAGGTTAGCTCAGGCTTGTTCACATGGAGGCTGGGAAGAGTTCCTGTGGAGACAGTAGAAGTGCCAATGCCACTTGAAGCCTAGACTTGCAACTGGCATGATGTCATATCCACTGCATTCCATTAGTCAAAGCAGTTCACAAGATCAGACCAGATACAAAGCAGGGGAATGCAGAGGCCACCTTCTGATTCAAGGAGCTGCAAAGTCACATTGCAAAGGGGCATGAATAAAAGGGAAGGAGGGAAGTAATTATGGCCATTTTTTCCCAGCAATCTGCTGCACTGCCCAATTTATTTTCTGCATTGTTATTTTTTTCACATAATTTTTGAACAACTATATGAAGGAAATAGAAGAAGAGGCCATTTTTCTGGAACATATCTTATTATAATTTATTTTTTTTTTAAGCAGAAGAAGATTAGCCCTGAGCTAACATCTGTTGCCAATCCTCCTCTTTTTGCTTGGGAAGACAGGCCCTGAGCTAACATCCATGCCCATCTTCCTCTATTTTATGTGTGGGACACTTGTCACAGCATGGCTTGATAAGCAGTCCGAACCGGCGAACACTGGACCACCAAAAGAGAACATACGAACTTAACCGCTGCACCACGGGGCTGGCCCCAATTTACTTTCTATTTAATTGTTACATCCTTGCTAAAAAAGAAGCACAGCAGTATTGTTTTGTCTTTAGTTAAAAAATCACCAATTCTATTCTGATGATTCACTTCTATTAAACCCGAAACATTTGCAATGTCTTACACCGTATTTAATAATATTAATTAATGTGATTTCATAACTAAATTTCCCTTTTTTCCCCTCCTATGTTCAGATTACATTATAATAAACACATCATACTAGGCTTAGTCAGTGAAAAGCATAAACCAGTGGAGGCCGACAGAAGATACTCCAACATGTTGTTAGAAAAACATTAGATGCTTAAAATATTGAAATTGCTTTTGATTCAGAATTTTGCTGACTTGCTTATTTGGGAATTTTTTTCAATTTTACTCCTTCCATCGGTAGATCAGTTTTTAGAGATCTTGAGAAGTCAAGGGGAACTTTCTAACAGATTTCATGGACTGAGAGGGGCAGAATAAAACATAATTGGGTATCTTGGGAAAATTTCCATTAAATTTCAACCCAAAAGAAATATGTTTTCCTTCCATGTCTATTTCATGTAGATATGCATGTGGTTCTCATTCAGTTGCTTTCTTGAAATTTAAAAATTTATAAAACATATGTTAAGATAGAAATATTTAGGATTCCATTTAATTAGAGTAAATATTCTCACCAGATTATGTAATTTCATTTTCTTTTTTTTGTTCGTTTGTTTTTGAGGAAGATTAGCCATGAGCGAACAGCTGCCATCAATACTCCTCTTTTTGCTGAGGAAGACAGGCCCTGAGCTAACATCCGTGCCCACCTTCCTCTGCTTTATACATGGGACGCCTGCCACAGCAAGGTTGCCAAGTGGTGCCATGTCCGCACCCGGGATCTGAACCCTCCAACCCCAGGCCACTGAAACGGAAAGTGTGAACTTAACCGCTGTGCCACCAGGGAGGCTCCCTCATTTTCAAAATACTTATTTAGTATTAGAGAGGAATTAGTGTAGGAGAAGAATCTTTCCCTTATCTCCATGGCTATTGCCATTTCTCCAGTTCAGATATTCATCACTTCTCTTCTGGACAAGTGAAGTTGCCTCTTAACTGGCACCCCTGGCTGCAGTCTTTCCTGCAATGCGTCCTTTTGCTCTTCAGAGTATTTCCAATGGAGTTTTAGTCTGGCCAGATGTTCGTTCAAGAAAATGGATCTGTGTTCAAATAAGTTGGGAAATGCTATCGATCATATCCTCCATGCTTGTAGAGTCATAAAATCTGTGAGTACATTAAAAGCTTTGAGAAGTCCTGAGCAACATGAAGACAGTATCGTGTTTTTCTCTTTTATACTACCCATGAGCATCACCTTGTTTTATCCCAAGTATTTAATGCCCTAGGGAAAATTAGGATAATTATGGCAGGAATTTGAAGACAGAGAGCCAATTTTCAACATTCAACTTCCAAAGGGTGACTCGTGAAGACCAAGGCTAGAAAAGTTCTTGAAATACCAGCTTTCTTGAGAGAGAATGGATTTATAAATTCCAAAAGATCTTTTATGGTTGGTGGCATAGTGGTTAGCATAGCTGCTTTCCGAAATATCTTTTGTATGTAAGATCCAGGCTTGATGGAATCATAGATCACTAAGTTTTAACAAAAAACGTTGAGAGGTTAATCAAAAAGCAATGTTATATAAGGAGAAAGGAACATGAGACTTTTCGTGAAGGGAAGTAGACATATTTGGAAGAGACAGGTAGAAGATAAAGAAGCAGCTTGGATTCTTTGGGACCCCAGTGCTTCCACATCCATGGGCCTTGATCCAAGGAGTGCCAGAGAAGTGAGACGAAAACCCCAGGCAGGTTGAAAGGGAAGTTGAAACACTTGTGTGTGTGCACTCCTCCTACCAGTTATAATTCTGAAAGGACAGTGACCTGCAAGGCCCCTCTTGTGCCAATAGAGGATGACCACAGTGGAATAGAAAAGATTGTACACATATTTAGGCAGAAAAACATCAGGGAATTTTGCCGATGGAATCTCCTTTGACAGATGTGTGCTGTGGAAGGAATTTGAAATTCCTTCCCTGTTCTCACTAGGACAACTGAAAAATAGTTGAGAAATGTGATAGTGGATATGCCAGGGTCACCATAATAAATGGCAAAGTGATCCCATATGAAAAACAGTAAACCAGAAAGAAGTTGTAGCTGAAGGTTTAGAATGTCAATGAAAGCCAAGGAGAAGCATAACTTCCAGAAATGAGGATGAGGATATGGCTCTCATGACTTTGATTTTGCTGAAAGAACAGGCAAGGAGTTAGACTTGTTACAGTCACTTGAGGACCAGATGCAGTTCAAGAACAGACACTGCCCAAAGTCAGATGAGACAAGATACATCTCAACCAGAGTTCAAGAGAAAGCTCAGGAAACATTTATCCCATTCCAGACGCCATTTTGGAAAGGAAGCTGTGGGACACTAGAGAAAAATTGCTTGAAAGAGAGTTTGAACTCTAAATTGAGTGGACATTTATGTAAGTGAGAAGATTTTAAACAGGAAAAGATTGAGCTACCTGTAACTGGAAAGTTTACATTATCATTTTCTACCCATCATTAGAAATGGGGATTATAAAAGAACTTAGTTAACATAGAAATATCATAGAATTTTATACAAGTGAATTGTAGCTATAAATTGTCTACTCTATTACACAGATAAATCTGGTTCCACTTTTAATCCAAAATCCCCGAAGTTTATTTGTCAAAAAATGTTTTTTAAATTAACATTCTTCTCTCAGAACAAGTATTACATGGAACATCCTCTGGTAAATATGTTTCTATGTTCTTATTAGAGTTAACTCTTAAAACAGTTTTATTTTTTATTTTTAATTAATCTTGTTATTCATCTGTTTAAAAGAACACTTTTTGGAATTCTTACATGCTTGGGCATTATGCTAGGTGCCTGGACTAGAAAGATGACTCAATCATAAATTCTGACCTCAAAGAGACCATAGATTTTCAGAGGAAATATGTGCTTGCTTGGGCAAATATAGACTAATTTTAGAACAATACAGAGAGGACTAGCATGAATGCTGTGCAAGGATTGCATGAAAATTTATGAGGAGTTCCCCATTTTCTCTTTAAGACTTCATACTTCTCTTTAAGAGAATGACCAAGGCAAAGACATTCTATCTCAGCATTTCTGTTCTACATTGCAGTAGAAGTTTCAGAAAGTGAAATATGACAAAGAAGAGGACTAAGATTAGAAACAAAGATTAAAACTGTTCATATTTGGGGGCTGGCCCCGTAGTCGAGTGGTTAAGTTCGCGCGCTCCGCTGCAGGCGGCCCAGTGTTTCGTTGGTTCGAATCCTGCGTGCGGACATGGCACTGCTCATCAAACCACGCTGAGGCAGCGTCCCATATGCCACAACTAGAAGGACCCACAACGAAGAATATACAACTATGTACCGGGGGACTTTGGGGAGAAAAAGGAAAAAATAAAATCTTTAAAAAAAAAAAAAAAACTGTTCATATTTGCAGATGCCGTAACTGTCTGTATAGTGAATCCTAAAGAATATACAAAACGTCTACTAGACCTAATAGTGAATTTAGCAAGGCCACAATACACAAAGTTGACATACTAAGAGCAAAGATTTGGAAAATAAATTTTAGAAGTTCCATTTAAAATAACACAAAAACATAAAATCCTTAAGGATAAATTTAGCAATACATAAAAAACCTCTACACTGAATCCACAAGAGGTTAATGTGAACAATCTAAGAAACCATTAATAAATGGTGAGATGTGCCATGTTAATGGATTAGAAGATTCAATGTCATCAAGATGTCCATTTTCCCCAAGTTGTGGTACATATCCAACACAAGCAAAATCATAATCTCAGCAAATTTTTATTTTAGAAATTGATAAGTTCTCCTAAAATGTATATGGAAGTGCAGATAACCTAAAATAGTCAAAATAATGTTGAAAAAAGAAAATAATATAACATAGGAGGGTTTACATTCTCATTCAAGATTAACTTACTATGAGGCTACATTAATTAAGATAGTGTGGTATTTATGAAAGGATAATTAAATAAAACACCAAAGAATCCAGAAATGCATCCACACTTACATACTAATTTTTGATAATATCAATGAGGGATTTCAATAAATGGTACTTGGACAACTGGATATACACATCGAAAAAATGACCTTTGACCTCTACATCACACCATATGTTAATTTGAGAAGGATCATAGACCTAATTTTAAAACCTAAACTTATAAAGCTTATAAAAGAAAACGTAAGAAAATATCTTCATGAGCTCAAGGTAGGCTTGGAGAAATCATTTGCAAAACAGCTATCTGTCAAAAGACAAAGAAATTTTATCCTACAATTCAATAATAAAAAGACAATTCAATGAAAAAGACCAAGACTTCACAAAGGAAGAAATATACATGGCTAATGAGTAAATAAAATAAGGCTTCATTGTCATTAGTCAGCAAGAAAATGCAATTAAATCACAAAGAGGTACCACTCCACACTTAGCAGAATGGTTAAATTAAAAAAGACCAACAACATTAAGTGCTGTCAAGGATATAGAGCAAGCAGACAGACATTGACAATGGAATGTAATATAGTACAATCAATTTGGAAAACTGATAGTTTTTTTTTAATTGAGCATATATCTTCCTATGATCTTAAAATTTCACTCCTAGGAATTTACTCAAGAGAAATGAGAATATATTTCCACACAGGACTTTACATGAAATGTTCATAGCAGCTTTATTCATAATAGTTCAAAACTAGAAACAACCCAAATGCCTATAACCAAAGAATAGGTAAATAATTTTGATATTTTTGGAATAATATCAAGCAATAAAAATGAAAAACTATTGACTCGTACCACAGGATGGATCTTTCAGACAATATAGTAAGCAAATGAAGCCAGACACAAAATAATGCACACTGTATGATTTCATATGTATGAGTTTCTAGAAGAGGAAACACTAACCTATCTGGTGGGGTAGGGGACTTACCAGGAAGAGGTAAGAGGAAGCTTTCTTCAATAGTAAAACCTTCTATGTCTTAATAGCAGTGTGAGTTACATGGATACAGGTATTTATCAAAATTTATTGACTCATACACTTAAGATTTATAGGTTTTACTCTATATAAATTTTACCCTCAAGAAAACAAATATCGAACTCTGCTTAGTAGAAATGGTTTTCATGATGGTATGGACAAACAATTCTGAAATGACTCTCTGTGTATTCTGTGATTGAGCAAATGAATAAATATATTGATGATAATGGGTGCCAGATTTTTCTCTGTTGGAGTTGTAAATATGGTAGGGAGACAGCTAGAATAAATACAGGGGTATTGGATTGGAATTGAAATTATCACAGATTTTTCTCAGTTGGAGTTATAAATATGGTAGAGAGACAGCTACAAGAAATACAGGGGTATTGGGTTGGAATTGAAATTACCAGGCAAATTCATTGTTTTTAAATATAAATAAGTAGACACAGAAATAAGTTTGTGTGTATGTATTTGTTGTTGTTTTTCCTAGTCTGAATACTGAGAGAGGTTGAAAGCAATGAAATACTGAGCACAGCTAGTACTCAGATATTGGCTCCTAAATACCATTCTCCACTAAAAGTTACCCAGGCTCCTTGGAAGAAAGATTTATTCCAGAGCTAAAGCTAAAAAAATACAAAATGAGTTGTTCAAGAAAGTAAGAAAATACTCAAAGAATGTTGGGGACATGTCAAAAGGACACACAAGCCAGATTGAAGAGCTTCTGATGTACAAAATCTGAAACAATTTGAGCATCAATATAAATAATGTAGAAATGGATTATTATCTCTTGAATAAAATAAAAATATGTAAGTCCCAATTGATATAAAAATAGATGAATGAGTAAAGACCTCAGGTGGTAGGGTGGTGGTGGGAAATGACAGGGAGGTGAAGGAAGGCATCAGCTCCTGGGGGCCACATCTGCTTTTTCACAGCCCTCTGCTCCTGCCCATGTTTTCCCCTCTGCTTGGAATAGCCTTCCTTTTCTTCATCAGCTTGATGTGCTCCTTTCCTCAGTCTTCCTCAAGGAGGAGTCACCTCCTTTGGGAAGGTTTCTTGAATTCTTATTTGTGACTTCCTTATATGTCACCTTGTTTGGGAAGGTTTCTCGAATTTGAAGTAATTATTGACCATTTGTTGTCTATCTTGTTTTTCATAATCCCTTTCCCTCTCAGCAGAGGCAGCAGAAATTCCTTTTATATTTCTTAGAGTGCTCTTTGCCATTAGGTTTATGTCATCTTTTACATTTCTTATCTCCATGCCTTCCACTCCCATTCCTGAGCACTTAGATTTTAACTCAGTTTTTTTTTTGATGCTTTGCTATGAAGGATGCTGTAACATTAATTGCATTGTATTAAATTGTATCCCATCAATTGGTTGTGAGCTATGAAAATGAAAGTAATAGGGGTCAATTTAGTAAAAAAATTAGTTTATCTTGATGCCAGCTGTGAAAAATGCATAAGACTGGCTGGGAGCCAATCACAGAGGCCCTGTAAGGTACATCCTTCCACCTGCTCGCAGGGAAAACATTATTTAAAAGAAAAAATATTAGCAGATGACTGCAGCACTCCTTCTGTCCTGTGATTCAGAGGTGTGTTTTGTTTTGCTTCCTGACTGGACAGTTCTAAATTGGGTTCCCTGACGACAGATGGCTCTTTCAGTCAGTTGGGCCAAATGAGTCACAGTGATCACCGCCACAATGGATGTCAAATAGTCATGGAGGTTTCAGGGTGCCTACTTGCCCAGGATCAGAAAGAAACCTCACACTGGATTCCAGGCCTCCCTTTGTCCTTGTTGGTTCCTGCTGAAAATAAACTTACATGAGCCACACAAAACAACCCCCACTACCAATCATTCTTTGTGAAGATTAGACACAAAATTAAGAGCCAGATCAAGAAGAAGCAGACTCCACCTGAGCAGGGTAGGAATTCCCCAACGTGGGTTAGACTTCAGAGGGCAAGCCAGTTAAAACAGCTATATAACACATTACAGGCGCTAACCACTTCACTGCTCATTGAGCTCCAAGTCATTTGATGGTTTGCCTTGTTGGGTATAGACATTGTAGCCCCAACTACTTCAGCCAGTTGAGCCTTATCGTATAATTGTAATGAAAACTGACTTGCAAACTGAGGTTATGTAAGCTCCTGTTTGAGACAAAACTCCAGGAATGTGTAGTTCCCAAAGGTATGCACAGCCCCTGGGAAAGAAGGGTCTTTAGGAAAATGACCATCCCAGTGTTTTTCTTGATATTTTTAAAGGTTTTGTCAGACCTGTTTGCCAATGTTTCTATAGTCATGAGAATTACTGCATATTGTAAACATTTAATGATAATTGATATTGGTAGGGTCATTTCCGATTTACACAATGGGATAAGATCTTCAATCTCAGCATATTCTTATGACAGGGTCGTAGGTATGACACCTATAAAGAACATATAATAATCCTCACTTTATAGGTGAAGAAACAGACTTGGAGAAGTGAAGACATTTTCCATGATAAAAGGAGACAGCTATGTAATTCTGGGTTGAAAAACAAGGAGTTATTAACAGAAAACTGAGTGGGCAGTAAACTACATATTGGATATTTGAGGAAAATTAAAAAATGATGGAGAGAAGAGACCTGATTGAGTATTATCTGGCCAGACCTTCTCAGTAGAAGGACCAGGATAGGCTAACTCCACACTTCATTACCTGTAGGACTTGGACTTGATGTTCAAGAATGTTACCAGACTCTGTCCAGGCAATGGAGACACTCCTTCCCAACGCATCCAGATACATTGCAGATTTGTGGAACGTGGGGGAATGGGAGGGATTGACCAGACTGTAGATGACTCAAGGCACTTCTGTCATATTAATGAAAACAGTTCCTAACTCGTGTCCATGCAGGATGCTATTCTGTTCTTTCCTCTGTAATTCTTGTCTCCTACCTCCTTACTCCAAGTTCAGGCATTGGTGACTCCTCATTCAGTGCTGATTACTTCAAGGGAGAATAATGCAGTAAAGCTAGAGAAAAAGAAAAAGAAAACAGGAAGAAAATTCTGACTTTCTAAAGCCTTGTTT